GAAATCGGGGCGGATATGTCAAATGTACCCTGCCCAGGTGATGATAACGATCAATACAAGCTTGGCATGCTCCAAGAAATTTAGGAATATTGAGCCGCTTTCACATAGCTCGGGCGACAGGTTTTTCCTTTCACCTTCCAATGCACAATTATTGCAATCTTCGTAGCAGACCGCGGGTACAGGCTCGTTAGATTGCCGTTTGCGTAAATCTAGTGAGTCGCTCGAATTCGCATGTACAAAAATGTCAAAATCGAGACCAAACTTCCGGGGATCAAGGTTGTAATATCCGGGGGAAATGATAAATTTTTCGACCCTATCCCCGACCACCGGTGGGCCCCAGAATTGCGGGGGGTGTAGTGGAGGGATCGCCTTGCATTCATCCAGACTGCAGAAAAAATTCAGACTTGGGGGGCCGACTTCAAAATTACAATCGCCGTCCTCGGGGGTACGATTTGGTCTGCAAAGCGAGCCTGGGGGGCAACCCCATAAGTAATTCGATGGAAGTGGCTGGCGTGGTGTGAAGGTTGGGTTCACGGTGCGCGATGGGCAGACTGAAATCTGCGTCACGGTTCTTGTGACTGTTCGGTCGGTTCCAGTAAGGGTTCTCGTTGCAGGAACAGTTTGAATAATTGTGGTCACTTTACCCGGTATGGTGGTGGTTTCCGTCACCGTGCTGGCGGGCAAGGTTGTTGTGATGGTTATGGTCTCGGCTGGGAGCGTGGTTACGCTACCGGGAAGCGTTATTGTACTAGCAGGAAGCGTAGTAGTAACTACGCTTGTGACTGGAGGCAAGGTAATTATGATTGTTGTAGTAACCGGAGGTAGAGTGGTGACAATAGTTTCAGGTGGAAGTGTCACTGTTTCTTCGTCTATAATTGTTGTCGGTGGAAGCGTCACTGTTTCCTCGTCTATAATTGTTGTTGGTGGAAGTGTCACTGTTTCTTCATCAGTTACAGTGACAGTCGTAAACTCTGTTTCCTCAATTACTGTCGTCCTGATGTCTGTAGAAACCACCGTTGTAATGACCGTCGTGGTATATGGCACCGTGATCGTTTCCGTTACCCGGACTGTGATAGTCGTAGGTGGGCCTGGCACGGTGATTGTTTCTGTCACAGTTTCAGTGACGGTTTTAGGGTCTTCAGGCCACTTTGTGGGCCAGTCGGTAGGCCACGGCCATTTCGTAGGATACGGCCATTTGGTAGGATGCGGCCACTTGGTGGGCCACGAGACTTTTGAGATTGTGGGCAAGGTAAAAGTCCGTGTGATCAGAATTGTCGATGTATAGCATCCCGAATGTAGACAGTAAGCGTTGAGCTGCACAAGGTTAGGAACTCCAATCTTGCAAGCCACTAGCTATGGCATGGTGTTGCGCAACTCACCGCGGCGTTGTCACCATCCCCAAGAACGTCTGCTGGTACTCCAGCTGGACTTGTGGCAGCTGTGGGAACCGGAGAAGAAGGACCGTAGCCAATGTCATTGGTATGAACGCCACTTTCACCATAAACTTGAGGGTAAAGCGATGCGCCCAAGACGAGAATTGAATGAAACAACTTCATGGTACCAATTGGTCTCCGCCGGGACAAGCTGTAAGGTTTGGACAGTCACAGCCAACAGATGGGGTGCCTCTGTAATGGCTGCGACCGTTGTGAAGTAGGTAGCGGAAGAAGAGAAGTGGAAAGCACAGGCAGAGGAGTGCAGCAAAAGGGGGAAAGTAGAAGATTAATCTGGAATGTCCTCTCAGCCAAGGGAGATGCGCAAAAACAGCTAGTGAACGCAGGGCTGGGATAATCATGAAAACATCCGCGTTGGGTTGCCAGGTACAACAAACCTGGGTGAAGACTCGCAGGTCCCTGGAACGCCACTCGAACAAACACTTGAATAAGAAGGGCCAGCAACCGGGGTATTAAAAAGCGACGTAACTCTGGGGGATCACACAATGTCCAAGGTGCGAAGCCAGGGCTCCTCACCGTCATAATAATGAGTCGGCCCGCCGAGCTTCATCACTTAGACGGAAAGCAGGCAGTACGTTTGGGGGGAACTCGTTGACATCCTTCAGCCTCAATTGATAACCACGAACACGAAGAGAGTGCTCCCCATGATGGGCTCGCTGGTTCGCCGCTTTATGACCATTGGGAGGCTTAATACGAAGGAATTGAGGGGCATATCAACAACAAAGAACGCTAACCTAGGGTCCCCTGTTAGCCGGGCTTTTTGTCCATCAACTGCGAGGCGCCAGTGCAGAAGCGGCTGCTTCGTTCCAGTATGTGTCCGAGTGGGATGAAAATATAACTATAGCACTGGCCATGACCTAAAGCTGAGCCTTGACTGCAGTCAGATCGTCGCCACAGGGTGGTCAGATCTCCATGAGGAAGTTCTTTCCAGGCCAGTTGGCGGTAGAGCCAGAGTGCTGAGGTGCGACCGGGCAACAAGAACCGGGGTGCAACACGGGTGGATACACGGTCATCCCATCAGCGGTGCTCAGAAATGGGAATCCCGTTGGCTTGGAACAAGGTCCGCAAGCGGAGAGTGGCCGTCTTCTGCAGCAGACGAGAGACAAGAGACGCAAGAGTTGACGATGCGAGATGGCAGGACGTTGACAAGATGTCGAGGCGGTGATGAGTCAGCAGGCACTTCACTTCTTCTCTTCTTTCTCTCTCTCTCTCTTCACATTGAACAGGCTGGCCATATCTCACATGCGCACAAAGAACTCCAACAAGGCCGTGCTTCTGCTTTGTCTGAAATCTCCCATGGTTGTTCCTCGTCTCTCCTCAGCTCGTGTCCCGTTCCCCGCAGGATCGGCCTGTCTGCAGACTGCCAGCCATTGTCTCGGCATGCTCGACGTGCCCCTCTCGGAAGAGACAAGAACCATGCAAATTGCTAATCGGATCCCTGTCTCATGGGAGTCTTCTGGCACTGTCTCTCAGGAACGAGGTGCGAGTCAAATGTAACACTGCCATTGATCGAAAATCAATTCTCGTGGCAGCTCTTGTCAGTGATGAATCAGGGTGCCATTTCAAACCTCGTCTGCTTTGTTTCTCCAAGCAGCCGGATGCGACGCCCGCCCTTTCTCGTCATTCGTCCCTCCCCGGGATCCTCCGGGCTTGAGTTCCCCACGTCTGCAAGTCAGTGACATGGGGGTTGTGGGCCGGGATCACGCAAGGGTGATTCTGGCTGCCATCGCTGCTGCAACGAGCCGCCGCTGAGGAAATCTTCGGCCGCGAACCCCAAAAGCAGCGAATCAGATGCGATGATGGCTGGAAATTTGCGGTTGTCGTGCAAAACACATGTTTGGAGTCCTTCCTCCGAACGCCTTGGTTTGCGCCCACGTTCCTGACTGCCAGTGACTTTCATCCTGGGACTTGCCGGCAGCTTACAAGCCAGTTCTGTGTCAATGGAACATTCAGGGCAGAGACAATCAATGACTCGTTGAATCTCCCACAGTTAGCCCTGTGAATGGCCCAGCACTTCGGATGCTACGAAAGGTGGGGTTTGATATCTTCTCTCAAAGTTCTTTCCAGGAACCGAAAAATTCCTGCTAAGACTCAGAGGGTACACGGAGGAGAGCAGCACCGTTCATGAGCGCGCGCAGGCACTTGAATCATGACGACTAGAAAGAATAATTGCACCCCCCGTCCGCCCCTCTTCGCTCAAGAGTAAGTCTCCGGCCGTTTTGGTGAGTCTTCACTCCTCATCATACTTGATTTCCACCTTGACACGATTGCTGCAAGCTTACTACGTACAGCCCTCGTAAATTATTTCGACGTCAACGACGGTCGCAGTCATGGGCTTCAGTGGCAGACATCAGTCGCGGCTGGCTTTCCGCGGGGCACATTGATTTGACAATTCTTGACTAGCGTTCCCGTCGATGATCCTTGTCGATTCTCGATAACTATGCGAGGCAGACAACCTTTGTGAACTTCTATTAATAATACTCTTATGATGACAATGACCCTCGCAGCGGATAGGTGAAAGAAACTCAATAATCGCGCGCATTTCTGGCGAATCTCCCGGAATCCTCCCCACCGACAAACAGCTGCTCAAAACCACGCGCCACACCAGATTCTCGAATCCTGGTCGGACTAAATGTAACTTGCCGTTTAAGGCCTTCCTTGATTCAGCCGTGGGCTGTATTATTGGCAACTTCCCCTCCGATCGCCCACCTTCGAGGCCCTTGGCGTCGTCCGTCCAACCAGAACACGATGTGTCGCCGACTTCTTTCCATCCTTGCGGAGCATGGGTCTAGCTAGGAGGGCCTGTTGGTTTCTTCACCGGAAATGGATGACTGTCACCGCCGATGGCGAGTGAACGACCTTGTGGCGGCTGCGCCGAGCGATCCCACACTTTTCATCACTACTCGGCTGCTGAGTCTTGACTCAATCTTTTCGACACGGCGCCTGGATGAACTGCTTCACTCCGCTTCGCTTGTCGAATTGCCGCGCCCAATAACTTCAACCTAGTTGTGCCATCAACAGTATACTTTTTGCGTGTATTCTGGTTAGTAACTTTTGTTTTAGTTGGTGATAGCATACAGTTTCTGCACCGTATTATTTGGCTGCATTGCTACTTGACCCGTTTTGCTGGTTTGCATCATAGGCCAACTGCTTGCTCAATAGCTACAGTCGTTCCAGAGGGAATCAAAGCTCTGGCTAAACACTTCTTTTAATATCTCGTTGTTTGATGTCAAGACTTCGAACAGCCTACATCGTGTTTGGATTGTTGCTCTTCAAACGATCTCGACGAGTTCGTTTGGTCTGTAGTTCAGAATGATATCCATCAGGCAGTATTGACGGCGATCATAGTTCCTCGGTGGCATGAACGAAGCCTAGACACCCGTTTCGAATCTCATTCTTCTCGTTATTCAGCAGTGCATGGCAAACTCACCTGCGATGGCGCGTCTTTCCATCGGCTTTTTGAGCGTTGCCTTACTCTCTGCAGAACTGGTATCGTCGCAGGCCTTCCAAGGTCAGAGGAACATTTCTATATGTAACTGGAGCAAACTTCGAGGTGTGTCATGCCCTTCCTACCCCCACTGACTAGTGTACTGAGCCTTTACGTAGCGGGCGTCATTCGAGACACGATATATTTGGATGGAGGTGAGCTCTGGTGGAGGAGGTATGTATTTTCCAGCTGCTCATCAGAATCTTCATGCAATCACTGACATGCCCGTTGATAGGGGGCTCACAGATGGCACCTATGATGGGGTCGACAAAGATGGTATCTCCTTCTAGAAATTCATTGGCAGTCAGCATCTAGCTGACGTCCGCCCAGCTTCAGTTGAAGGTCAAGTGTTTACACTTCCACTTTCTACTCCTTTTGACACGGCACACACCAATTTGACTGGCCTGTTCGGTCGCATGAACGCCATCAATGGTGCATCCGCCAGTCTTACTCCAAATTATGTCGACGGTGCCATGCTTGCCAATGATTATGAGTTCATTCTCTATGGGTACAGTCACAATAATTAAGCCGGCTGAGCTATTTCTGACGAACGTAGGGGCCTCCACCGCCAAACAGACAATCCTCCGCCTGAAGATCAGACTCTCTCGTATGAGCGGTACTACTCGGGACAAGCAGGCTCCCCGAATTGGAAAGAGGGATTTGTTCTAACCCACACCAACAACAACGTAACTCGATATATCACCCATGGTGCCGGCGTATCCGTTCCCAGTGAGAACAGAGGGTACTATTTCAGCGGGATGCGCGGAGAAAACTGGGGCCCAATCGCTATTGCGGGTCCCTTGGCCAACGATTCTGCGAATTCTCTTGTTTCAGTGGACATGAGCAAATGGAGGGATGAAGAGTGGGACAAGTCGACTTTACCTCCAGATATCATTCCGCGAGGCAAGGCAGAACTTGCCTGGGTCCCTGTCTCCGACAGTGGAGTGCTCATAGCTATTGGTGGCGTCCCATACCCTGAGGATGTTTTCAAGGGTGGCAGCCTAACTGCTAACCAAACTCGTGATAACGTACGTCTAGATCCCCTTTCGCTATTAGGCCCTTCTGCATGGATAATCTAATCGTGTTCTAGGAACGGCTGGGGGACAGTTTCATGAAGACTGTATCTATATATGACATTGCAAGCAAAAAATGGTGAATATTACTGCAACCCCTCCTTTGCTTTCCTGCTTCTTTTCCCTGTAAGCAAATCACTTACTCACTACCATAGGTTCACGCAAAATACTACTGGCATCGCTCCTCCCGGGCGTAGCGACTTCTGCTCAGTTGTAGCGTCTGCCAAAAACGGGAGCTCACACAACATCTACATTTATGGCGGCTACGGTGGTAGTGATCGAAGCGAGAAGGCATTCGACGATGTATATATTCTCTCTGTGCCGTCCTTTACCTGGATAAAGGCATCTCAGGGGCAGAGCGAGCACGGTAGACGCGGGCATAAATGCGTTAAAGTCTATCCTAACCAGATGTTTGTTCTTGGCGGAGAATTTCTAGGCAAGTCGATATGCTTAAACGGAGGTGTCATTCAAGTCTACAACTTGAACACTCTTAGCTTCCAAAACGTTTATGATCCTGAAACATGGGAAGAATACAAGGTCCCTTCGCTCGTGGTTGATGAGATAAGAAAGTGAGTGATGGTTTAACACTTGGTTCGTTGTATATTTGCCCTTTCTAACTGTAGTATAGTGCTGATGGCGGTGCCACGGTCAATGACGACCTACGTGCTATTTTCTCGCGAACTTATTCTAAACCCATTAAAACGTATTACCCCTACAGAGCCACAGAGACTCCTTCGGAGCCAGAGCCATCTGGTGGAGGTGGCCTCCCAAACTGGGTTGGCCCGGTGCTGGGGGTGGTTCTTGGGCTCATCTTGATCACGGGCTTGGTCGTCGCTTGGCTTCTCTGGCGTAGACGCAAGGATAGACGGTACGCTCCTAGCGAGGGTGCTACGAGCGAAAAGCGGAGCCGGATTATGGGCTGGATCTATGGAACGTCGATGCCCGGCAAGAATATTGATGCAACTACCACAGCAACAACGACTGATCATGGCCCGCCGGAGAAACACATGTCAGCGGGTTATTCCGAGGTCGGAAACGAATCTGTCACAACGCCGCATTCGAGACCTACCATTGTATATTCGGACCTCAATGAGGCAGCGAGCTCACCAGTGCATGAACTTCAAGCTAGTTCACGCCCGGCGCTGGGTATGCAACCGCTCCACGCAGATTCTGCCGACCGATCTCGTAACGTATTTTCAGGCGCCACGATTGCGACGCCTTTGGAACTTCCCACCGAATATAACGAGTCCCCGATCTCTCCGCGCCCTCGATTCCCCAGCGATGCCGGAAGCTTCATTAGCCCCGTTTCCCCTGAACCAGGACCCGTTTCCCCACCAGCCAGCCCGCCTCCGCAGCTACTTTCCTCGCGGCCAACGCACAATCGGCATAATTCATCGCTATCGAGCATGGGCTTTCCCACCTCAATGAACAACGCGGCCACAGGCGAACATCACGACAACACTGACAGAGTGATCAATGAAGAGGAGAATTTACAACGAAACCATTTTGTTTCAGGCATCACAGAAGACTTTTCGTCTGACTCAGAATCAAACCATGGTGGCGAGCCGGAGGTCAAAACATGGTGACGGGGTGAAGATCCGACATTCTGGAGCCAGATCAGATCTACCCTTGCGGATATACTTTGGAATAACGTGTCGGTCTGGCATGTATTAATGTGGCACTTATTGCACCCCTTACTATCCCTGCTTTGCACAACTTGATGAGAGCATGTTCATGAGGTTTGGAAATAATTGATATTTTTGGTCCGGCGTTAATATGATACATAGCCAAGGTAACAATAATGAAGAAAACGGCATCTCCTGCATGTCTCAAGAGGCCTGCATGTTCATGATTTTTGGGATACTTGGTGGAAATAAGCAAAATCCGGCGGTGGTTTAACTTAATTCCTTGTTAACGCCGGTTGCAGTGCACATTCACGGAGATATGGAGATTATGGTGTATAACCAACTCAACAGGTGCAGGGCTCAACAGTCATAGACAAGAACAGTCGCTGAACCAACAGTGTCCATATGAAATGCAGGCCATCTGAATTTTTGCGGTGTTAACTTACATGACCAACCTGCTTCAAGGCCTTGGACAGTTACACAATATAACCTAAGAAAACTATAAAGGGCGATTCACTTCAGGAGTGTATGACTGCTGGTTAAAATCATTGAACACACAAAACGGACTTTCATTGAAGCAGCTGTCCCATTTATACCATATCTGCATATTCTGCTTCAATCATCATGCCTACTGTCGCTGGTAAGCCGGTTGGCCCTGTTGGTTTCGGGCTAATGGGTAAGTGCACCATTCTATGGCATCCTTCCGTACAGCTACCAAGTAATTCTCCAGGGTTCACATGGACACCAACCCCGACCCCATACGAGGAAGCATTTGAGGTTATGAAAAGCGCTCTTGGTGCGGGTGCCAATCTATGGAATGGCGGGGAGCTCTACGGCACGCCAGACGCAAACAGCCTTCATTTACTCAAGGCCTACTTCACCAAGTATCCCGAAGACGCTGATAAGGTCGTGCTCAGCATTAAAGGCTGCGTGGGCCCTAATGGGTGCGACTCGAGTCCTGCAGGTGTGAGGCGCAGTGTGGAAAACTGCGTGCGGATCTTGGATGGGACGAAGGGGATTGATATCTTTGAAGCAGCGAGGATCGACAAGAAAGTACCCATCGAAGAGACAATGCGCACATTCTGCGAGCTCAAGGATGAAGGAAAGATTGGCGGAATCGGATTAAGCGAAGTGAGCGCGGCGACTATCAGACGGGCTGCTGCCGTGGCTCCTATTGCAGCGGTCGAGGTTGAGTTGAGTCTATGGTGCACAGATCCCATGGAGAATGGGATTCTATCAGCATGCACAGAATTTGGAATTCCCCTTGTGGCATACTCTCCGCTTGGCCGGGGGTTCCTGACGGGCCAAATCAGGACCGCGGACGATCTTCCGGAAGGCGACATGCGTCGGCAATATCCGCGCTTCCAACCTGGTGCATTCGAAATCAACCTGCGCCTTGTGGACGCTTTGCGGCAAGTCAGCCAAAGGAAAAAGGTGGCATTGTCCCAAGTGGCGATTGCATGGGCGATTGCCCAGGCGAACGAATCCAAGGGGTCAAGTATTATCCCAATCCCAGGTTCACGGAGCAAGGGGCGCGCGGTTGAAAACTCGACTGTGATAGAGTTGAAGGAGGAGGAGCTACAAGAAATCCAGGCGATTCTGAGCAAGTTCAACGTGCAAGGAGAACGATACCCTAGTCATCTCATGCAACTGAGCGACGTGTGATCCCGCCAATACATCAAGTTTCGGAATGCCTACAATCGGGCACTGTTTTGAATCATTACCGGAGAAATATATATTTAAGCTGCATTCAATATATAAATTTTAAGCTTACATTCGTGCAAGTAGAGGGCCCTGCAAATCGTTTCCTTTCTGGCCAACGCGCGCCCACGCATTGTTATGTTTCCGGCTCAGAATCTTTTTCACTTCCTCAACTGCCACCTGCCTGGCTTCTGTCGCCGGGTTGTAACCCAAGCCAGATGACTGGGCGATCTCCTCATCAGGGCGTGCATCATTTTGCTTGCCGTCGGCGCGCTTGTAAACAGAAACAACCGCGGCGCCTCCAAGGCCTAGGTTATGCTGCAGGGCAACAGTCGTCTTCGGGGCAAGGCGGTTGTTTGCCCATCCGCGCAGTTGCCACACCATTTCAGTGCATTGCGCAAGTCCCGTGGCACCCAACGGATGTCCCTTGGAGATCAGCCCGCCAGACGGGTTAACCAACACCTTACCACCATGGGTGATATTCCCCTCGCGCACAAACTTTCCGGCCTTGCCGGGTTCACAGAGACCAAGGGCATCAATAGTAATAAGCTCATTCGCAGCAAAGCAATCGTGGAGCTCGCAAACCCCGACCTGAGAAACGGAAACGTTAGCTTGGGCAAGGGCCTCGCGTGCGGCGCGTTTCGACATTTGATAGCCGACGAGATTCATGGCGGAGTCGCCATAGGTGTCTGACTGGTCACTGGAAAAAATGTGAGTGCGAACATGTCGAGCCCAGTCAGTGAGGAAACTCACGTAACAATAGATTGGCCGACAATTTCGATGGCTTTGCCCTTGAGCTCAGGATGCTTGTTCAACCAATTTTCGGACACTAGCACGGCTGCGGCGGCACCGTCAGAGGTCGGGCAGCTAAGGAACGTTAAATAGTTATTCGTGATCGCACGTTTATTTAGGGACTAACCACTGCAACTTTGTGACTGGCCCATACATGGACGGACTGCCCTTGACCTGGTCGAGGGAATAGACCGTGCGGAACTGGCTGTAGGGATTCTGGGCGCTGTGAGCATGGTTGACGCGAGCGATCTCATTGAGATCATCGACCACGGCGTCATATCTCGAGACAGAATTAGCTCAGCCCTATGGTCAGGGAGGGATCTCGCGAAATACTTTTCAATGTACTCTAAGCCAGCATTTCCGAATAGACTCATGTTCCCAGGCTCACTATTCGGGTTCAAGTCGAACATCTTCTCGGCTAACAAGCCTTGCGGGATCGCACGGTCCAAGAAGGCCTTCTTGATGCGGCCCGCTTGCATTTTCTCGAAGCCAATGACAAGGGCAACATCGGCTGCACCGAGGCCGAGTGACTGGCGAGCAAGGTATAAACCGGATGAGCCGGTCGCGCAGGCATTGTTCACGTTGACGATGGGGATTCCCGTCATGCCTGCCTCAAGAAGTCAGTGCGCGGCCAAAGGGATGTCAAGCACGGGTGGCACGGTACCAAACTGGTAGAACACGCGCTGGCCAGAGGTCGAGTCTCCAAAGGCATAGCACGCGTAGCCTTGCTCGATCTGGTCGTAGGTGATGCCGGCATCCAGCAGGGCTTTTGTTCCGGCTTCAAGCCCCAAATGCGGGTAATCTCTGGCTGGATTTGGTTTGAGGAAAGGGGTCATGCCGACGCCTACAACGTAGACGCGGCCAGGGTTCGCACGAGCAGGCATTGTTCGATGAGGAGGACAATGGTTTGGTTCTCAGCAATTCGGCTGCGACGAAGGTAAAGGTCGCCTTTGTCTCGACGAGACTCGAGGCCGATTAAAGGGCGTTGGCATGGCGCGGGCCTGAATCCCGCGAGCCGGCACAAGCTGGAGATCCGTGGGGATTTGGGAGCGATGTGTGTTGCCCGCGGTGATTCGCCCCGGCCGGCGTTGATTCAGCGTCATCCATCGGCCCGAGGTGCAATAACTAGTTAACTAGTTAATGGGAGCACGAACTGGCTCACGTCTTCTGTTTCTGAGTTTCCCTCATCCACTTCATAGAAGATGGGCCTAGCAATGGTATATATATCGATTAGCGAGGTGTTGTCCAGCATTGACAGCCGATGAATGTTGATGGAAAGTATGCCAAGTCTCGATTAGTTAACTAGTTAACTAACTTGTTACTCCATACGGAAGCTAGCTAGATACAAGCTCTGCTATAAATAAACATGGGATGAGGGCATCTGGCGGAGGAATATTCTCCCCAGTCATATAAGCTGCGTCACCCGTGTTGCTCTTCCTGATGAATTTGACACTAGCTCATGGATTACCTTGATGCCCGCGTTGCTGAGCAGCAATCTCTCTTACTCGGGAGCAGCCGAAATGTTACCATTGACGATAGCTGGACAGGGTTGGCTGACGACCGACCCTATCAATGGTGAACGAGTTCTTCTGAAGCCTTACATAGTTGACTAGTTATAACCCCGACCAAACCTCCGACATACACAACTGAGCAAGCTGACATGACCGCACCGGAGGAAAAGTGGGAAGAATGGGGATCCGAGCGCATGTTTCGCGCAATTCATGACAAAGTCGCGCTCTTGAGCCATCAAGGCGGCGTCAAGGTCCTAAACTGCGACGACGAGATCGTCCTCAAGGTTGGAAGCAGAGTCCGTCCTTCTGAGGAGATCGCCATGCGCCTCGTCAAAGAGCACACTGACATCCCTGTTCCGGAGATCTTGCTTGCCGCATACGTTGGCGATGAAGGCCGCCTGGCGATGAGTGTCATTCCCGGCGCTCCGCTGACAGAAGCTTGGGATAGTCTGGATGATGCAACAAAGAAACGCATATGCGTGGAGACTTGGTCAATGATTGAGAAACTCCGCCGGATCGAGAAGCCCGCGGCGCTGCAGCACCACTTCCTCAGTCTTGCCGACGGTTCGCCCTGTATCAACGACCCCGTTGTGGCCGGCCTTTGCTGTGCAGACCCTCCGCATCCGCCGCTCCTTGATGACGATGCTGTTCGCGCCCGCATCATGGACCTGACAGCTCCAACGAAATATGACCTGAGTGGTATTATGGCAGCAAGGGGTGTTTTGTTTTAGCGCACTCTATAGACAATCAGTCAAGGGCTTCAAATGTTAGTTGGAACACCATGTATGCAGATCAACTGAGCGGCATTGCCCACTAGTTATGTGACCTTTTTGTATGGCTCGCAGTGACTGAGAAGAGCGCTTATAGTTAGAGTCTCTCGCTGCCTCGGCATCTCGCACGTGATG